TGAGCTAAATCCCTGGCCCAAGCAGGACATTTATACATCTCTTGAAGGGGTGGAAACCCAGGGAAAGGGTGACTTAGCTCCCAAGGAGGGTACTTGCCCATTCTATAGGTATGGGTCCACTTTGTTTTCTTGATAGTTAATTTTAAACAGTTTTTGAATTTTTCATCCTGTCCTGTTATCTTGGGATCAGGTTCCTGCTCCTTACTTTTTTAATTAAGCCAATTTATGTCATTGAAGTAGTCTTGAGAAATTTTGAGTGTCATAGGTCTAAAAGGAAAGAAGCCTAAATTTAACCAAGGAAATTCTGATGTGGATCACCTTGGGTAACTTCAACTTGGTCCTAGAAGTGGTATTCCTTTTAAAAGCAAAAATTTTACTTATAATTTTGTCTCCTTTTAGTTTTTATCTTACCTCACATCTACTGCCTTAGTCATTAAAAACTTCTCATTGTGATTTTATAAATGTAAAACATATAATGGATCTAATTTCTACCTTTTTTCTTTTCCTCTTTCTTCCTTCCTTCCTTTCTTTCCCTTTCTTTCTTTCTTTCTTTCTTTCTTTCTTTCTTTCTTTCTTTCTTTCTTTCTTTCTTTCTTTCTTTTTTGTACACGGACTCAAACTCAGGACTTTGAGCTTGCCAGGCAGGCAGCACCACTGAGCTAAATCCCTGGCCCTCATTTTCACCTTTTAAAATCTTACTAGAGGCTCAAAATTGATGATAAAACTTTTCTGAGGAAATTTTTTTTTCCATTCACTAAATAAATATAAGTAAAATTTATAATTGTGTCCCCAAACTTGGAAGACAATAACAACAACAACTTGGCACACAATTAACCTTAAAAAATATGAAAAGAAAAATATGCTTTTCAAAAGCTAATGGATTATAAAATTTTGCTTAATTTATATCAGAGGAAGTCTTATAACTTCATTTAAACATGAAGATACAAGAAACTGGGTATGTTTTGTGGCTTCAAAAGGAAAACCCAATGAAATGGTGTATGATTTTGTGCACAGTATAGAATTGTGATTAAGGGAGTATACTCCTTTTTTAAAAAAATATTTTTATTGGCACATGTTTGCAGTACATAATGATTACACTCATCATGAGGAATTGGTACTGCCATGAGAAGGGCAGCATGGAAAAGTTAGTGCTGTGGGGGGTAACAAGAATTTACCAATCATCAAGAAATATAGAAAAGTTAAAGGTGTATTGATAAATTGCAAGAAAACAGCAGGCAAGTCTAAGAGAGGGCCATGCTGTCAGGGTGAAAGGCTGAAATTTTCATATTTGATTTTAACATGAGGAGGGCATCTCAAAACATCAGCCCAGGAACATATCATGAAGTCACAGTAGTTTTCTTGTCTACCCTTCTCAGTTCTGAGGATAACCAGGTGTTGTTTGAAGACTGAATACTGTATTTCTCCACAAAGTCCAGTGCTCCTGGTGCTGTTAAAAAAAAAAGCACTTCTGAGTAGAATTAACAAATGTGGAGCCTGCTGGAGACAGGCAGGTCTGTGCAACCCTACCGAGGTCCGGAGTCAAGCGGAACATGCCGAATCACCCCGCTGCATACAGGCAGCCACTTGGTTCCACACTACAAAGACGCAGAGGACATCAGACCACCAGACCAAGGTACTGAGTCCCACTGCTCCCGGCCCAGAGGTAAGGGCATCTGAGCAGCCGTCCCACTGCTCCTGGTCCAGAGGAAGGGGCTTCCAGGTCACCATCCCTCCCGCTGCTCCCAGCCCAGAGGAAGGGGCTTTTGGGCCACCTTCTGTCCCACTGCTCCTGGCCCAGAGGAAGGGACTTCCGGGCCACCATCGCTCCCACCACTCCTGGCCCAGAGGTACGGGCTTCTGAGCTGCTGTCCCACTGCTCCTGGTCCAGAGGAAGAGGCTTCCCGGCCACCATCCCTCTGGCTGCTCCCAGCCCACAGGAAAGGGCTTTTGGGTCACCATCCCTACCGCTGCTCCGGGCCCCTGTCCCACCTCTCCCAGCTCAGAGGAGGTAATCCGTGCAGGCACTGACAGCCCCCCACCCCAGTCGAAATGAGAAA